CGGGTACTGCCACTGTTGTGGTGATGGTCTCGTCTTTTAGGAGTGTGGTGTCGACCGCGGCGGTCTCGGTGGGAGGTTGAACCTGCATGGTGGGATTTTCTAATAAAAGTACCTCTCTAGATGACGGTGATAGTGTATGTCTTAGTTTGACTAGATGACAGATGAATTGAGTCGAGGAGAATGAGGAGTCAACTTTCGATACGCCGAGGGCCAGAGATTATAAACTGAGTGGATCTGGGGTTGCGTCATTCGCCAATCAGAATGCAATTTGATTGTCGAATTCTAGTACCTGATTAACTAATCGACGCCTTATCTTCCTATCGGATCGGAGAGGGATGTGGGTCCGTTGATAAGGTACGGAGTACAAGGAACATTGTACATTGTTGCCACAACTAATCGGCTGTTCCTCCTCGGTCCATACGATAGGCTCGATCTGGACAATGATTTTGTTAGTGCTACCACTCGAGTGGTACACTGACACTAAGGATAACAGCCGAATATGTTATGTATCTTGGAGTTGCTCCTTGACTTCACTGGCTTATTTGGACTGATATCATGTGTTGCCAACATCAATTCGTCGCGATCGATACCCTTCTGCTTGCGGACGCCATATCTCGAAGACCTGTCCGATTCGTCCTATGGGCCCTACAACCGTTTACTGTTATGCGTCGCAACCGATAGCATTTGGCTTACGGTAGCAAAATTTCTCAGGGACTATTCAAGTCCCCCTGTATATGGAGTGTGCCTGTCAATGCACTTTGTCCCCTTGCCTATTGGAGTCTAAATAGTTCGATATCGTAAAAATTACTCAAGACCCACTGACGTATAGGGGTAGAAGCCGAAAAGGGATCCAACTTCCCAAGAGGACCGAGGACGTAGGCCGGGGTTCTGATGAAGTTCGGAAATGGTTCTAACGTCGTGAAGATGATCGGTTGTCGGTGGTGTCGTATATCTTTGTTGTATTGGCGGACGTCTATGCACATCTTTCAAACTATGTACAGATTATTGATCGGTATGCCCTGAGAGCGAACCGAATAGCGTCGCTTTATGCCGACACCTGTCGCTCGTCGCAGCAACTCGTACGTTTCCTCGCCGCCGCCAACCATTACCATGCTTATAGGATGGCGACGGGGAAGCCCTCCTGCGGTCATTTGCGGCTCATCTAATAACGGCCGGATAAGAAATGGTTCTGCGCGAATAGCGGCCAGACCTGCAGAGGCGGGAGGTTTAGACGTTGAAGCCTCCGCGAAGGCCGTCTCACCGTAATCGATCACAATGACAAGCTTGAGCGCATGTCGGGAAGGTGGGTAAGCGGCGATGTTGCGCAGTTTTTGAGAGAAGCTGCACCCGCCTCGTTTGATGACCAGGATTTGATGACTTTGAGCAATCTCCCGTAAGATCCGATGGTCACATATCTCATCGGCAAAGTATATTGTGGACCACGACAGGCGACTTTTAGACAGCTCCCCCGAGATGGAAACAATAGAGGCGTCCTCCACTTCTGGGACGGGAGCCGAGCCTGCGCCGCTAGATACGGCAGCTGGCAGGATCAACCGTACAATAGACGACTTTCTCGAGGGGGATTGGGTCGTCGACTCTGGATTCTCGTCCCGCAAAAGTGCAGACACTGTGTCCATTAGGGATGAGAACACGTTCTTCACTCCGGAGGTCGAAGGGTCGACGCTCCCGATCTTGTCGTCGACGGATACGTTTTCTTGGATGATATGGTTTTCACTATGCTCCGCAGCACCTCGTTCGCGATTACCATTCGAATCATTTCCTCGACGGAGAAGCTCTGGCATTACGTCAATGACGATGTCAATCATGGCAGAGTCGCGCATCCGAGTGAAATTGGGATCAGTGGGATCGAGGACGTCAAAGGTGATTTCTCGTGAGAGGTATACCTTCTCATCTTTGCCCAAAGGCACATTGTTAATCACCTGCACACGGAAATTATCCTGGCTCGCCTTCCCAGTCGCGTCGAGCGCCGGCACATCCTGAACCATGCTCAATCGAAGGCCTCCGATGTTCTTGATGAAAATGCCATCCCGAACCCGCTCAATTGACCCGGGACCCATGACCATACCCGGAATGGCTGGGAAAGAGATGTCTAGTGTGGGTCGAGAGGTCATTGGTGAGCTTGTTGCATTGAACGGCACCAATTCAGGGGGAAGAGTCCACGGGTAAAACGTGTAGTTGGTCGGCGACGATAGATCGGACACTGTCACACTAGGATGGTCATGTGCATATTCTAGAATAGGCCCTTCGGTCGGGCCTCTGTTCGGCATTAGGTGCAAACGAGCCAAAGTTGCAGCATGGAAAACGTCAGGACGCGCCGCCGTTGAGGATAGACCGAATGTCGGTGGCTCAGGTGCCAACTGGCAAACCGGCAGGTTGACCAGCTCTTCATGCTGTGCCTGCTCCCTATGCTGATGAGTTCTGGCACTGGTACTTGTAGGTATAATGAGCGGATGACCCTCAGTTGAAAAGACAAAGGGCCGATCCATGTTATTCAAAGGATGGTCGGGGTGATATAGGAGAAACAGATATTTGGCAGTCTCTCCCAGAAAAAAACTTTCCATTCGATCATTCAACTCTCCGTTGCGGACGTCCTGAAGACCGGCCCAGCCGCACTTCGCCCAACACCGGCGTTTGAGATCTCGGAGTACCATCTCGCCAACATAGAGATACCATGGGTCCTTGGTGGCCAGGTATATGTAGTATGTGGACTCAATGAACTCCGGACGGCCACCGTACCAAGCAAGCTCACCCTCAATGTTCCCTGTGGCAACGTTCCATCTTTCAGGAAGGCCAGAGAATCGGGTCCAGACTGCTGCCGTCAAAAGATGTATGGCTATGGCCTCGTCCAGCTCCCCTGCTATCGAAAGAAGACCTGGATAGAAGGCACTCAGGCTATCGATCCAGAATGCCCGTGTTGCGCCGGTAAAAATATCGCCTTGAATCACATGCGGATGTTGATAACCCTCCCCTCGATATAGATGCCGTTTGATAGCCGCATGAGACTCTTCCCACACGCGCAGGAACGCTTCCGCTGAGTGCTCATATTCACTCAACGGCGGGAAGTACCCATCCAGGGCCTGCCAGGGACTTCGGGGATCATGCGAGGAGCGTTGTCCCGACGAGAGCAGGACGTACGATTTGAAAGCATATTCAAAAAAGCTGTCAATGCCAGCGCCAATCTATAGTCATCAGTATCAATGAGGATTCAGCCTAAACAGGTCTCAGAGGTAAACCTACCCCTGTGTAAGAATGAACCCAACGACCTGATTCTGCATCTATTCCCGAACCAATCAATCCAATGTCACTTCTTCGCATCCAAACAGCCCAAAATGCTCTTTTCGCAAGTTCTTCGTATCGACCATCTCCGGTGAGCCTGCTCAGAACCGTGAACTCCAGAACTAGGCTGCCTGCACCCGCACTGCAAGTTTCCGTGGTTTCTGAAGGAGCGCGCTGACGGTCTTCTCGACAGACCTCACGATCAGAACCGTGGCATGGTTTATCTGCATTCAATGGCGAATTCGCATAGAACGGGCGCCGTTGAACGCCGTGCCGCAGATTCACCCGAGGGTATGGAAGACCAGTGTCCGTATAGAAGGCAGGTAGAAGGCGATTTGCCAGATCAGCAGCGAGCCGGAGGAGCTGACCATCATAAACAAATCCATTTGTCCACTTGATGCCATGACCGTTTTTTGGAAATGCTGATTTGTTCCACGCCTTGGCGAAGCTGGCTTCCGGTTCTGGAGGAGTATACCTGGTGATTGGAAGGTCACCAACGGCGAAGAGATGAGCACTGAGCAAACCACCTATACCAGGATCCAATGTCAGATATAAGAGCCGTTTCATAACCATTGACGAACGGAAGCATCGTACCTAGCCCTCGAATAACAGTCTCAAAGACTTGTACTTTGCTGTCAAGATCGAATCCCCTTGCCCGTTCACCCTGACCAGCAGGGCCATCCGAGCCGTCCCCGTATAGCTTAACAAAATCCCTCACTCCGTCTTGAAAGTGGTTCCAAGCTCTCTCGCCTTCATCCGGACTAGATGATAATATCGCTAACGAGGACAGGCTGTCAATCAGGGTAAGGGAGTAATTTCCCAGGACGTCGTTGAGCTCAGCATTCGAGGGGTTATCACGATCGCGAACAAGCGGACGACAGGATAAAGGACGCAGCTCGTCTTCCGGAAACGCGTACTTCATATAATTCTCGAATCCATGGTAGAACATGTGCTCGGTCTCTTTCCTGGATCGAGCTCATTGATTTTTGATCAGCGTGGCGCTCATTGCAAGGTGAAGTGACAACAAGACTAGCAGACGGAAATACCTGAGTTCATTTATCTGAGAAGTCCTCATACCCTGAGCCGTGGCGAGCCATAGCGACAGGAGTGAGACCCAAATCATGCATGCTGATCGAAGGCCGAACATCTGTAAGCTCCAACATCCCGAGCGCATTACCGCAGAAGCGAACCAGCCGCAGATGACATGGGAACTTGAATTTCTCTTCTCGTCAGATAAGTCAGAGATCTCGGAGGTACTACCGGATTATCGAGGGCCCCTCGAGACTTGAAGTAATGTTGTTTCGTGGCAAGAATAATGTCGCACGTGAGATTTAAATCGCATCCCGCGCCAACTTTAAAGCTGGTGGTTGGCTAAGACAGATTACTGAAGGCCAGATATGCCGTTTCCATATAGGACAGCAGCGCAAGCACTGTCTATAATTTACTTTTAATTTATCTGATCTGTAGCACAAGCTGAACATTCGTAAAGGATCCGAGGACTGGTCGAAATGATTTTCAATTTTTTTATGCCGACTGTGACTGAGCAGCTGGATGGAATGTCCGCTATAAACCAAATATACTGATGCAATGACTAGAAGTCTCAACTTGGGATATCTCCAGTAACAAAATGCGCTATGCCAAAAAATTTTCAAAACAGAGGAGTAAACAGCACGCCATGGGCGAGTTAAGTCGGACGCGATGCCTTACTGATGCACTGGATCTTCCGTATCATGTCGGGCAGCGAAACGCCGTGGTTGAGCTTGAATAACGTAATCGACACCATCATCGGATGTGTAACTAGGAGGTCTAGGAACTGAAGGTTTCCTGTTCGACCTCCTTTGCGTGCCGTTGACGGCTGCGGGTGGAAGTTCATCGTCCTCTACACGCCGCCAATAGAGGAGATCAGGGTTAATTCTCTGAGAACGTGTTAATGGCCAGGACAATGCGAAGGAGATGGGTTAGACACTCACCACACTACTTCTCCATAGACCATATGCTGGAGGGGGAGTCGTGACCTTTTCTCGTACGGCGTCGTCGACCAAAGCTTCCTCATCTCCCGCAAGCGTGACCTGAATGGGGCGATCTGGCTGAGCATATCCCATTGGGCCTACTCTACTGGGTATCCGATTCCTCGCAACCGTAGACCTTGGGTCCTGCAGGATCTCCATAGCGAAGCGAATCAAAGTATGGCAGAAGATGATGGAGAGAATCAAGATCATGAAGATCAACAGAATATGAATTTCTTGACCGAGGTGTGTCGCAGTGTGTATTGCAAGGTCTAGGCATTGTGTTAGCACCAATTGTGCTGAAAGAGCAAGAGTGAACCGGGAACAATCTTACAGAAAGCGATAATAGCGAGCAGGAAGACCGTGGCTGGGATCAATGTATATAGCCGCCTCCTTATACTCCTGTCTCTGAGGGTTGGCATGCACGATCTTTTCTGCTGACTAGAGCGATCAGCTTCTCTGCGCGACCCCTCAAATTGGGTTTCTCTGGTCGAGCGAGCGTCGGACGGCCATTCACCGTTCGAATCCGAACTGTCAGCAGGCCGTGGTAGGTTGACTGGAATATGCGGCACAGGTGGTGTATCTGGAGAGACAGTGGCATTTAAGCCCGAATCACCTGCCGCTGTAGATTCACCCGGAGCATGAGGTTCATGGCGTCCAGCGCCATATTCAAGGCCTTGAATCTCGTTTTGAAGATGTGAGACTGTTGGATTGCTGCCGTTTTGGCCGAATGTTGAATTGAGCGATGAATGTGAAGACTTAGTCTGCTGTGTTGTTGATACTCGAGGCGGTTCCATTTCGTTAAAACCAATCAGGCGGATGAAGCATCGGGGGCGATTGAAAGGTCAAGAACGAAAGAATAGCTGATCGATTTTAAATCTCGAGTCCCTTGTTATGTATACCAAGCTTCTTGAACAAATAGTCGACTCGGTTTTTGATGGTATGCATCCCCTAACCGACTTCCGCATCCGTTGCGCACCCCGTAAACAGAAGTGAAGCGGGCTTGGACTGCGACGAAAACCGCCGAGCTGATCACGCTTTGTATGCAAAACCGGCAATCAGATATCGAAGAGGTTTGTGTTGAGTATAATGAGCGTATTACCAATGTTATACAACTATAGACAAAGGAAAGACGTAGCGATTGGGAGCACCGGGAGGGGCAACATAAAGTATGGATCCAGATCTTTCGCTCCAAGCCAAGATACCAAAAGTCGCAGTACTTAGAGAAACAATTTATTGAGTTGTAAGGGTTAAGTGAATTGGTATATCTCGAACTGGGAAAAGATTTGAGGAGAAAGAGGAGCACCTGGCCGCTCAGCGGTGTCCGGAAGCTGGTGGATTATAATAACGTATGGACTAAAAACAAAGATGTCAAGGTAAATTGAGAGAGTAGGTTGAAAGAAACAGAGGCGCCAACAGGAAGAGTCTCAGGAAAAAAGAAACACAGAAGCACAGAAGCCCAAGGGCCAAGGATCCTGGAAGAGCACATCCAGCCTGGCCCTGCAGATGTTCGTCCGAGTAGGTAAAGTAGCAGCCATTAATAGCGGAGGGGCCCAGACTAGTTGGACTAGAATACAGACAACCCCTGATAGACCCACCTGTCTACGTATGACCGGATCATGACCTTAATCAATGATTATCATGGATCTATTCTGGGATGATGATGATAGCAGTTGTCCTTGGATGGTCTAAATGGCGTCTGTTCTCTGGATATTCTCTCAGCCCACTCCTTATAATTCTGAGCATACTGAGACCGAAAAGACCGAGAAATGTGCTAGATATAGATAGATAGGGGGTGTAGCTTCACCTGTCTCTAAAACACTGGCACGAGGCACCAGATGTTTCAGAACAGCTCTTAAAGCCTCAATAATCTCCAGCACTACTGGCCAATGGTCATCGAGCCACTTATTACCATTCATTATAAATAAGCTCAGTAATCATGCAGACGGAAACTACTCTGTAGCTTGTTCTGCTATTGAGTAGATATCCAGCTTTCAAAAGAGTAGAATACACTGCAATCAACAAATGTGTAGTATCCTCAGCGTTGCTTGCGTGAGGCTCATGCTAACTAGCTGCACAAATTGTGTATACATGGTCCAGACTATCAGATTAGATTGATATGCTTTCGACGGTGGCAGACATCATGCGAACAAACATACCAGTTCTTGCTCTCAAAAGCCAGCTATGACTTACGAATGTCCTGCCCTTTGATGTCTTACAGCTCCTTGCCAAGCCTTCTAAGCCTTGACTCAACCCGTCTCTGAGAGTATAAAAAGGATGAACGTGGATTGAATATCTTTCCGTAGATTGCGCGACCAATAAGCAGAAGAGCTTGCCATATCGCCGAAGAGAGTAGCACTTCATGCGGTCACGAGGGTAGAATTTCAGGAAAGACGTTTCGAAACTTGACATCACCAGGAGTGGATGACATTCGCCTCATGACGCTAAGGAGCAAATCATGCGCGTAGTCCAGCATGCAAGAAATATAGGATATCTTTTAATTCTAGCAGAGGGTCATTTTTATTTCCCGAGCTCACCAAGCATGAGCGTCCGGTCTGACGATCCAGATACAACTGCGCGACAGGGTTAGCCACTGGCGAAGACATGAAACAGATTCGGTGTGACTCACTTATGGGCTCATTATTCGGCGAGAAGCGCACGTCGTTGACGGTGCCTTTGTGTCCAGGAAGCTTATATAGAAGTTTCCCAGTCCTGAAGTCCCAGACCACAACACTTCGATCGCCGCTACCAGCTGCAATCTTTTCACCCTTTGGATCCCAGCTTGCCCTGATCAGGTTCTTCTCCAGCCCCATCGGGGCACCGTCGTATGTTCTGATGTGTCGATTTGTGGGAGCGAAGGGCCGAATATCCCAAGTGCGCACCGTTGAGTCATGGGAGTTGGAGAGCAGGGTCTGCGAGTCCGGCGAAATCTGTAGGGACGTGATGGTGTCCGTATGGCCAGCCATGGAGTACACAACAGACTTCTTTCGCAAGTCCCAGACCTGAATTGTATTATCAATGCCTCCACTGTAGATTTCGTTTCCTGCTTCCGACAGAGCTACTGCGGTGATGGGAAGCTCTGTTTCGAGGTATTCAATAGCATGCTTTTGTCGTGGGTCCCAAATCCCTATGCAACCGTCGTCGCTCGCGCTAACCAGGAGCTCCTGGCCTCGTTTGCTGATGTCAAGACAATTTATGATCTCCTCGTGCCCAACGTGGCGTCGTATTCTCTGCCCAGTTTCCAAGTCCCAGCTTGCTAGTGTCATATCAGCCGATGCGGAGAAAATCGCCCGTGAATCTCGCGACCATTGTAAATCCAGGATCGCCCCTCGATGGCCGGTCAGAACTCCATAATTCTCGCATTGCCCATATGTGTTCCAAAGTACTGTCGTTGGTAGAAGAAGCGTCAGTCGTGCTTAGTAGAATGCTGAGCTTCGGTTGCGACTCACATATAGACCGATCCATCGAGCCAGAAGCGATGTGCTGTGCTGTGGGGTCAAATCGCACGGTGAAGACCTCGCCAGAATGACCTGCGAATGCGGTATTAATGCAAAATCTAAGCCGTTCTAGCCTTCTGCCTCACCTGTCAGCTCCATAATGGGGGCGTCAAGCCCGCTGGTGCGAGGAATCTGCCATAGTGATCAATAAAAGAGCTCTTCAACGTTGCTGAGGAGCAGTCCAGGGGCCACATACTGCTTGCACAAGAGTTCCATTTTGAGATGAAGATTTCACAACAGCCGTCCCAGCATTGATATCCCCGTCGGATTTCTTTCGTTTGACGACAAGTTGATTTGAGGAGCCAAAGGCTGCTTGTGCAGGTCTTTTCTCTCCCGACATCACTGCGACAGGACGCGTTGACTGGATATTGTGGGAAACCTAAGCTGATAGAGAAAACAACAAGATGGGAACAAGGAAAAAACAACAGGTCGATCGGCAATTGGAAATGGATATATTCAAGAACAGTCTACGGTCATTGAGCAGTTTGTCTTTTACGCAAGTTCCCACAAGCGCCCTGAGTATATTAGACGCGTTAGCCGCTAACCCGCGGACCCATAGTACAACTCCGCCTGCATGCTCTATTGATCCACCGACTCCAGCGGGGGGTGTAGATTATCCACATTCGACAACTGTCTCAAACTGAATCATAGGACCTTCAGACTGTCGAGGAACAGATCATTCTATCGGATCTGAGAACCTTTGGATGCAAAGCTAGACATGTCGTCCTCCACGAAGGTGTCCCGGATTGGTGAAGAGTGAGTCTGATTGTTTTGTGTCGCGCATCCGAATGTTGAGTACCTTGGCTAACCAACCCAACGTAGGCTCTGGAAGTCAGTAAGCTGAGCGCCTCTACCTACCCTGGAAACTCTTTTTTTGCAGCCTGGAAAATTTGTTGGAGAGAAGTGCGTCAACTGATGCTGCCAATCTTAGGACGAGAGTTGACAAGGTTAATGCGGAGCTGGTTACCTTGACGTATGGAACAATTGTCGCGCAATTATGTCAGGACTACGACAGCAACTATCAAGAGGTCAACAAACAGCTGGACAAGATGGGCTATAATATCGGTATGCGATTGATTGAAGATTTCCTGGCGAAGTCTGGTATGGGCCGATGCGCCAACTTCCGAGAGACGGCAGATATGATCTCGAAGGTATGAGATGGTCATCTCTGCATGAGATTTGCATGAACATAAATAGCGACGTGGTCACTGACGATTTTTGCGGGAATAGGTTGGGTTCAAGATCTTCCTGAATATCACTCCTACAGTCACGAACTGGACGAGCGATAACAATCAGTTTTCTCTTATTTTCGACGAAAATCCTCTGGCGGACTTTGTGGAGCTCCCGGACGATGGAAGAGCCCAAGATGAATTGTGGTTCTCCAATATTTTGTGCGGTGTTTTAAGAGGCGCACTCGAAATGGTAAGACGCAGCCAGGAGGCGGGCATATGCATGAATGTTAGCTCTTCTAGCAGCTGGGTTTCTGACGTCCCTCTTAGGTTCAAATGCAAATCGAGGCCCACTTTGTCAGCGATGTTTTAAGAGGTGATGATACCACGGAGATGCGAGTATCGTTGGTCCGATACATCGAGGATGAGATGCCGCCGGATGAGGAGTGATTTGAAGTCGAGCATTCGAATGGGGCACTTTTAGACTATCAGGGCGTCTGGTGTTCTGGATTTATGCAACCGAATCATTTCATGCACATGCAATTACGATTATGGAAAAATAACCACTTGTTCTTCGGGGCTGGTCGAAACTCAGCCGGCGCTTCCAATACGAGAGATATGCTTCACGCTACCGAAATCGCGATTCAAAGTTGAATTCAACTAAACAACATTTCCGTCCCGGCAAACTTGACAATGCTTAACCGTATAAATCTGTCGGCGGTTTGAGAGAGCACAGATGCAGCCATCTAGCACATCAACCTATTGATGTATGCTGGGGATTATTGGAAAAATTCTACCAGACGCTTTGACTCACTTCCTAGCGAAGTAGAATCCCAGGCAGCTACTAGCTACATTGGCAAAAGTCACAATGATGATCCCCGATGTAGAATCACCATTCCTGGAAGATGCGTATATACTAGTCTAGGGAGACCGCGCTTCGCTTATGACCCTGGCCTGACATTAGGATGACGTCCTTATTTGGCACGATTAGTGCCTTCCTGGCAGCTCTCTCAGACAGCTCTCGTCTAACCACCGGTCTTCTCTGTGTTGTTTGCGTTCTCCTCAAACTTCATAGTTTGGACACAATCAGTCTCCCCGTAACAAGCAATAGAAGGTCTCGCTGATGAAAGCTGTGCCCGATTCGATGGCTTTGTATGCAGACAGTGGTCGACTATTGGGTATGGATGCCAGTCTCAGTGCCTCTTGGAGCTTTGTTATCGCCTCCTCTTCGGCCTTGGTTTGTGCTTCAACAGCTGCGTGCCATTTCTTCGATTTGATTCTTGGAGGCGTAAGTTTCCCTTTATGTAAAAGGCGGATGAGGGACTGCATAGGCAATGTATACAATCTGGGTTGACATTGCTAGGGGGCTGCATCAGTGACCTGACAGCGACTGACAAAAAACCATTGGTTAAAACATGATACGTTAGAGAGGTACGATCATGCACAGAATTCAGGAAAGTTTCAGAAACACTGGTGTAGGCCCAGATACACCTTAGGTACCTGAAATAAAACAGTTGATAACCCTTAATTTTCTATTTTTATTTTTATTTTTATTTTGATTTTGATTTTTTTTCCCTTTTTTAATTTCTAATTTCTGGTTGATAACATCATATCGGTCTGCTTTAGGAAGATAACCACTAACTGGGGCTAGGTTTCTTTCTAGATGATCGCCATTGTCAACCTTAATAGTTAGCTGAAAAGCCTGAAATATGAACACAGTCAATACACGGCGGGAAATGGAACCATCCACGGATGCAGATTCTGTGGAGATTCAAAACGAATGATGAATTAGAAATTGGCAAACCACTCTGGGGACATCCACGACTATGCTTGTACTACCACATGAACTGATCGGGCAAAGATATGATTGAGGAGCGGTTTCCTGTGGTATGATCATCGTGACTGGGGAAAAGCACCTGTCATCTGATGACTTCTACTATGTAGATACCTCACAGGAGTTCGGAAGAGACAGAGGATTGCCATAAGGCAGACTGGACATCTTGACGTCCGAAGTAAGTAGTGAAACTTTAGCTGTACATGTCTAATTCGATATGATAGCCATAAAGTATCCATCTCATAGTCTGCTAGATAGCTCCTCTGCCTAGTGGTACCCTATGTGCCTGCGGGTATTACTGACAGTTCCTAAGGTAGCCACCGGTAATGTATTCTCAATACATCACTTGTTTCTTGCAGCAGGCTTCCGGACTGCTATATGTAGTTGCATGCCAGGATAACGACTTCTCTGTAATAAAAATAGAGATTCCATCTGTATCCTGTTATTCCTCTATTCCGATTCCACCAGCTTATTTTCTAAATCGTGGGGAAATCGCTCACTGTTATGCTTCCATTACAATATATAATACCTTAACTGTTGCATATTCGGAACAATGATTTTGCGAGAATCATCCGCGCGATACATCCAGATATTGCAACCTGCCACTTTCCTCTCTTTTCTTTACCTGGTTCTTCCCTCATCAAATTTATTGATGAGTCTCATTTGAGATTCGATCTCAATGATCTCAAAAACTTAGATCTCTGTTATTTCTTGTTGTCATCCATCAAGTGCTTATCGCCTTAGGTTTTTTTTTTTTTTACCATTCTCGCTTTGTAAAGTATCAACGGAGTCCCGTTTCTTCGCCTCTCTGGGTTGCATGCTCAGAAATACGCGAGAAGGCAGCATCTCCCAGCCCTCCCGCCGAGTTCCGCCCAAGTTAATCCGCGCCGAACAAGCGATTTACGCCCAGCCGACGTGCCACTGAAGGGTAAGGGAAAGCCCAGCACCACCTCCAGGAACCGCGCTGGATATCCACGTCCTCCCACCCACCAGATCACCTCAGATCCACCGCTTCACACCTTGTCCTAACCTTCGCCTCTTTTCCCCCCTCCTCCTCTCTCTCCAACCGTTTCCTCGTAAGATCGGCCGGATTTGCCGAATCCACTGTCATCTCTTTCTTCCAGAGCTCGTCGAGGTATTTCCGTCTTGAATTCTTTCCTTCCGTTCTCTTTTTCTCCCCAGGTGGTGCCCGTTGGGGCATGATTTGACCTGCCTCCCCTAAAGCGCCGCACCCGTCCTCTCCTCCATCATCTTGCGCCTCTCGCCCCTTCGTGTCGCTCATCGAAACCCCGTTTAATCTTATCGCGCACTTTCCCCTCTGGCTGTTCTATTACACTCTCTCCTCGCTTCTGTCCCAACCTTACCCAAGGTCAATAGATTCCTCAAGAAATCCTACGTACTGTGCCATACTGGTCTCTTTCCCCGATTGCGCTTGAAAAGCATCGATCCTTACAATATTGTCCCCCATTCGCGTCTGCTCCCGAGACAAACACGCTTGCTTTCCTTGTCCCAGTGGGTAGTCATTGTGGTTCTCAATCTGCACTCGCATGAGCGCGGAGTCTGACTTGCATCGGTAGATTTGTGGACGTTGTCTGGAGTTGGTTCGGGCATATCGACTTTGGTTCTCGATCTTGTATTCGTGCTTGATTTGGGAAAAGGGAATCACCAGAGCCTTTGTTTGCTGAGTTCGAAGCGCCGGCCACTTCGCCTTCTCCACCTGTCTCCAGTACCCTATACCACCAGTCCGCACGCGCGCCTTGTCTTCGATCTGTGGTGAGATATCTCGCCTCGAGACTGTGGATGCGCACTGAAACAGAATCTCACCGACGGCTTTCATAAGGGACCAACAGCAAGCGAGGGTGGCCAAACTCCTCGCAGTGCCACCATGAATCAGATGAATGTGACGGGGATGAACCCTGGGGCTGGGGGCCCGGTTGGTGGTGTTCCCATGATGAATAACGGTTCCACGGCTCCTCGTAACGATGGAAATGTGAACAACATACCTGAGACGATGATCAACAACCTCAACACCTACATCTACGACTATTTTCTGAAACGTGGCTATCATGAATGTGCCAGGGCTCTCGTGAAAGACGAGTCGATCAAATTGAACACTGAACCCCCCACAAAAACAAGTCCGGGTCACCGTCGTGAAGACATGAATGGCGTCGAAGGCGATGCAATGATGACCGATAGCAAGGACGGTGACAAGATTAAGATTCCTGATGACCTTCCTCGACCTAATCTCGCGAGCGAAAGCCAACAATCCTCTTTTCTCTTGGATTGGTTCAGTCTGTTCTGGGATTTCTTCTGGGCTCAGCGCAAGAAAGGCAACAGCAACGATGTGAGACAGTATCTTCAACACACTCAGGTAATTTCTCCACTTCTCCTGCTGCGGACGGAATGGGTTCTAATTGGTACTCGGGTAGAATATGATGCGGCTAAGAGAGCAGCAACACAACCAATTGTTACGGCAACAACCGGTGATGCCCGGACAGATGGGTCCGCTCAATATGCGCCGCAACGGCATGGTCCCTGCAAACCTTCAGAAGACCGTATTGCAGAATAACACCGGTGGCCTGTACGTATTCTCTTCAGCGCCCAGCTGTCTTGCGCGAGAATTCTGTACTGACTGAAGATATAACAGTTCGCAGCAGCAAATCGCACAGCTTCAGAAAAACCAGCAGATGCACATGATGCAGCAGATGCAAAGAGAGCATTCTGACATGGACATGAACGGACACCGCCCGCAATCTCCCTCGTCTGCGGAAAATGCGCCTTCACCCTCGAAGCGGCCACGCCTCGAGAACGGTCCTATGAACGGACAACAGTTGGCGCCCAATGGACGGGGTCAAGGACAAGGCATGCCGGGTCAGCCGAACTCGCAAGCGCTGTTGATGCAAAACGGGCTCAACCCACGGGCGATGAATCCGGCCCAGTTTGCGGGTTTCCAGCAACCAGGGCCTGCTGCTCAGCAAAAATCCATCCAGGTATATGCTCAGAACTTAGCCCTTCATCACTCACGCTCAGCACTGAATAACCAGGGCATTCCGAATGGCTTAATGAACCCCGGTGTCATGCCGAACCAGACGGATCTGGTGCCTATGCCAGACGGCCAGGGTATGTATCCGATGAACGGCGACTACTACGGCGCGAATGGTCAGATGGCCCAGGTACGGGCTGGGATGCAGACACCTGGCGGTCAGCACGGTAACCATGCTCTCCAGGACTATCAAATGCAGTTGATGCTGCTTGAACAGCAGAATAAGCGGCGTCTGATGATGGCTCGTCAAGAGCAGGACAGCATGTCTCGTGCTGATGGCCAGCCTCCAATGCCTGGGCAGCAAGGCTTGCCTCCAGGCACTTCTCCCCAAGGCAGTAGGGCGGGCACTTCACCGAACCCCAACGATCAGATGAAACGAGGTACGCCGAAGATGCCTCAGACTGGTCTCCCAGGCTCCCCAAGCGCCGCAGACGCCATGGGTCAGAACCGTGGATCGCCAGCTGCGATGAATTTCAACGGCGGCCAGATGCCTCCTGACATGGCTGGCGGCCAGTTCTTCATGAAAGGCATGCCGGATGCCATGGGCGGTCCGAACGGTATGCGTCCGCCGAGCTCTAATCCGGCTTTCAGCGCACCTCAAATGGGCCAACCCATTCCGGCTGGAGCAGTCAACCGGGTTCCGAGTGGCAATTGGCAGCAGCAACAGGGCCAGCCCATGGCACCACAACAATCTCCGGCCCAGCAACCTCAATCTACTGGGACCCCTCAGACTCAGAACTCAATGCCTCCTCCGCAGGCTCCGCCAGCTGGTGCCAACACTGGTCGGACATCTCCGCAAACCCAGAATGCTGCTCCTCCGACACCTCAGCAGACGAGTAAACCGGCACCGAAGAAGAAAGAGCCCAAGGACACTGCGCGGAAGGTATGTTTTTACATCACAATCTTCAGTAAATCTACTGTGGTTGTTTTATTTTATTGAACGCGATTCTAGCGAACCACGAAGAAGCAACCCGCTGCCGCTGCCGCCGCCGCGAACACGGCTGCTACACCCTCCTCCGAAGCCGAACATCCTCCAACCACACCTACTCCGTCGACGCCGATCACTCCCCAGCATCCTAGCTCCTTTAACAAGGCTGGGCCGAATCCGACGACGAGTGCTCCTCAGCAGCCAACGTCGGCGCCAGCACCTCAGCCTATTGTGCAACAACCACCCCCGGATCAGACCCAGCAGTCTTTCAATGACCTCAGCATCCCTGATGTATGATATCCCTCAACTCCTTCGTGCAGTTCCCGTTGAGCGATGGTTACTAATACAGATAACAGGCGTCTGCGTTCAATCTTGATTTCAGCGCTCTAGAGAATCCCGATATCCTTGAGAACTTCGACTTCGACACCTTCCTCAACACCGATGCGGATACTGCTGGATTCGGATTTGACCCCAACATCTCCTATCCAACCGATGGTGTTGAGACCGGCGCCGGAGATGGCTTATAAATGAGTCCGTCGGTTCTTCAGTTTTGAAACTCCATTATACCCTTGCTCTGTACATTTCATAAACTTTTCAAACTTGTGCCCAACTTGTGCTATTCGGTTGCTCTGTTATTCTTCTCCTTTCCTCATTTCCTTTGTTACTGTCTGTTGACATGATTGGATACTTGCTGAGAGACTGGCGTTGGTCGTATTCTTCCATGCATATCCCTTCCCTTTTTTGCAGTTTATCAAGCCGCCTTCCACTGTCTTTGATGGCATCTGACTCACCTGGGTATCTGTGACTATGAGCCTCTACATTCTTCTCTTTTCCTTCTCCCACTTTACTTTCTATCTCGTTACTTAATATTTTATTCTCGTGAGTTTCCGAATGGGCACCAAGTTATAACTAAACATAAATCTTTGTTGTCCCTTCAGAATCTCTTAGATTCTCTCCTCAAAATGTGCCTTTATTCTATCCCCTTTACTGTTTCTCTTATCCTGCTTATCTTGAGCTTCTTTCTTTGGTTGTCTCTCCCTTTGGTTCCAGTCAGTGGCTCCTGTACGTTGCGGCGTTAAGTGATGAGACCCTAGTCAAGGAGAGGTTTCTCTCCGGGTATGGCTTATGAATTGAGGAAGTTGCAGACCTTCAAACATCTATTGTCCTAGTTCAGTTTCTCTGTCTTTACACTGATTTTGGAAGGCTTCTAAGGAGCATCGCGTGTTGTAGTCTCCCAATGGTATTCCCCTTTCCTTAGCTGACAATTTAGGGGGAAAGCTGCGTCTTTCTGGCTGGTGTTATCCACTTTCTAGCAATTCGGACAATAGCTGCTGTGGCGATACTACCATTCACTTGCTTTTCATTACTCTAATGTGAACCAGGACTTTGCTAGCCCCTGCGAGGCTAGACATAGCCCAGAGTATGCTCCAGCCCAGTATTGTCGAGTAGTAAGAGCATTGAACAGGTACATTGAACAGGTATGGAGGTAGGGCTTGCGGTAGATGATCTAGACGAACCATTTTACCGTAGTAGGTCCCATACAACCCTGACAGCCTATCTTTTGCTCAATCCAATAGTGGTATGAATTATGCTTGCGAAGATAGGATGGAGGTAGATGCTTCATTCCTGCCCTTCAATTCTCTACCAATGGTCTAAGAACATCAACTTCGTTTGTCCTCGATGCGCGCTCCTCTACTCATACATTTGGATCCACTCCGAGATGGACATAGTCCTCTTAGCGGCTAATGCTCCCCCAGTTTCTAATCCTATCAATCTCTTTTGCTGCCTCATCTTCCAAGCGAGTATCCTCCCTCACCATCTCGATGAGATATCTAGTCACTTTTCGGGCACAGGCTTCTTTCGCTTCGGACATGCTGCCTTTGGACTCTCCGATCGGACTTGCACGGCGCAGGAAGGGGTCATTGCTGAAATACGCAGCGGCCTTGTAATCGTCTTCCTTCATATGGCCGTTGTTTCTCTCAATCCGGATCTCTGGGACTTCTAGAGAGAGAAGTTGACATATTCCTATTTCCGAAAAGGTCAGTGTGAGGCCAAGCAGCAGCAGGAGGACAAGAGAGAAGTGGAGTGAAACAGCAATGACGATGAGACCTTACTCTGAAGCTTTCCTGTGTTTGTCTCCCAGCCTCTCTCCAATTCTGACTCGAGTTCCCGATAACTGACGCTCCATCTCTTTTCTATATTTTGCTCATGCTCTTCAATTGGTGCCAACCTAGAATTGCCGGCTAAGGGTAAAAGGTTGGCGTTGACGCCCTCGGAGCTGCCTTTCACCAGTCGCTTTTTGGTTTGGCCTCTGCTAGTATGATCCTCCCCAAGCCTTTTGCGGGTACCCTTCAAACTGTTATTCCCGTTGCTTATACCCGCTTGGAATGTTTCTCTGGGGACCACAACCAACAGGCCTTCGTTGAAATTTCGTAGCGCGGCCGCTCCGCTGATGCCATCCGGCGGAAGTTGACCAAACGTCAAAAGCGCATACAGGGTCATTTGAGCAGCAGAATTCTTTGAGTTCCACTCCTGAGTGTAATGCTTGAGCACTCCAAAGCGTGAAAAGTCGGCTACTTGAGCCTCATGGCGACATCCTTGCTTGTGATTGTACTTGGTATACGTTGGTTCCGGCAAACCATTCTGAATGCAGTAGTCTTTCAAACCAGACCATTAGCTATCATCACACCGTGAGGATGTGTAAGATACCTTTCAAGATGTCCGTCCAACTCCATCCCGTCGTCAGAGGGCAATCCATCGGCTCTGGCGGCACCGTCCAGGAAGAGTAGGGGCTCTGCAGCTTCTCAAGGGCCTTACGCGCCATAGCACTTTTGGCTTGGAGAGGGGTATGGAATGAATAGTCCGACTCAAAGGTTAGCCCGTACAAAGTCAACTTGCCTTTCCAAAAGCCACGTTTTTTGCTGGAGTCACACTGAAACTTCGGAAGTAGAAGAGCCTGTATTGCCAATACGCCGAAGTAGTAGAGGACTTTGTCGCTGCTAACGGTGGAAATATCCAGAGAGCCCAAGGGCAGGCAATTTTCCTGGTCCTGCAGGGAATTTCCGTCAGTTCGAAACATTACTGATATTGCGATGCGATAAAGACGAAAAGGGTATACCGGAGGATTCCCAGCCCTAGTCGAGTGAGATAGGCTTACCTTCTGAGATTCGAATACCACGTACGCCCGCGATGTACCAGCTGCAACTGGTACAAGGCCCATTACCCCCGACATTTTAGTCTGGTCAGAGGCGATGGCCCCAGAAGCAAGTAGCCCGGGGGGATTGTCCCGCTCTTGTTCTCCTCGTACCACAACAGCCGAAGCCCCAGGCGCTCCTTCTGCGACGGTACGAGGAGCATTTTCACTGGCATCTAACTCCATCTTGCAAGCAGGACTAGTTGGATTAGTTTTCTCAGAGACGTCAGGAGCATGATCCCCAGAAGGTGAAGTATTCAAAAGCCCAGCTGAAGCTGAGGCCCAATGAGAAAACCCTCCACAGGTCTGAGGGGGACGGAAAGTGAAACCAATCTGATGATTAGGTCCAGATTGATTGCTGATTTGGGGAGGCGTACTGGAAGGAAGTGAGGTGATGCCAAAGGCAAGACGATTGCTCTCCGCAGGGGAATCCATGTCGAATAATGATGTATTGGGATGGAAAAAGAGTGAGGAGGGAGTTGTGAGGAGAAGGAGAGAGATAAACACAAGACGAGAGGGACTGTAAAAAGGTGGGTGAGTAAACAAACAGAAGGAGTGAATAAGTGAATACGCAGAAGGCCCCTGCAACTAATGTAACGGCAGCAGAGGCATACAGTGACCTGCCATGTCACCTTGGGTTCCTGCTGTTTTCACATTCCTATCTTATGAGCTAAGAAACTGTATCTAGCAGCAGCAGAACAGCCCATGAGGGCTCTATAGGGAACTTCATGATGCAAACTCAGAAGCAAACTCAGAAGGGAACAGGGCGATGAGCTGATTCAGACCCGAATCAATCTTTGTCTGGATTGTTCAACGAGCGCCTGATTCTTCGCTAGGCAACCCTTCAGTGTACAGTCTTTTGCTTTACAGACCATAAGTAATATGGTAATTGTATCTACTATGGAACCTTTGATGAAAGCTGCGCTGACCAATTGAACATACTAAATCGCCTTCCTCTGACGGAAGTTCATCAATAATCAACTCTCTCTGATACCAGACGAACTTGTCGTCAATAATAATATAATCGAAGCATATATAACAATCAATGAATGTGGATATGTGGATGCTTCGGAAAGCATGAACACCGAAGACGTAGCAACAAAGAAACCCAAGCGACTCTCTCCACCACACATCAGCTGCCGTTGATACTTGTGAGGGTCGCCCGAGTTAGTCAATCTCGACTGTATCGGCAGCGGTGTCGATAATCTGAAGTTTCGCATCCAGAAAGTCACCAAAGCCTGCGTGTTGATCGTGATCTTCGACTACGGTGATATGATCTTCGACCACGGGCAAGTTCTTGGACGGACTGAGGAGCACTGTCTCCTTTTCAGCGATGAGACTCACACCACCACGAGCAGAACCCGTGGTAGAACGGCGTCGTCTGGACTCGATAGGTGTCTCACAATTTCCACTTGTGCGCACGGTGAGCTTGGTAGGTGTACGGTCGACCTTGTCATTATCCCGGCGTGGTGTCACGCCAGAGGCCTCATTCTCTTTGTTATCCGAAGAATTTCCCTCCTTCTTGCTCCTGATCTGTGTAGTAGGACTAACGTGCAGTTTGCAAGTTGCTGCAGCTTCCAGCAACGCCTCGGCAGGGAGACTGGATTTGGCGCTGGAACCAGAGACGCTTCTGGATCCTGGCTGTGAAAGCTCCTTCAGAATTGACGGGCGCCTGGCTGACTTGACACAAGACGATGAGCGCTCTTCGGCAGCAGCAGAAAGCTTAGAAGCAACAGAAGGTAATGCTGATGACGTATTCTTGGGTGCTTGAGAAGTGCAGGCGAGAGGCTTTGGGGGACTAACTCCCTCGAAAAGTTGAGAATACGTTTCCTCATCAATAGGAGCAACAATGCTTGGTTGCTTGCTATGCTCGTAGCTTATACCGGTCATGCTAGATATAGCGCGGCTGCTGGATGAACTGGAATGATAATCAGGCATACACACGTCCTCCCAAGACGGTCTTGCCCCTCGATGGCGTGCAGCGGGGTCAAGGATGTGTGGATCGATGAAAGGGTCCGCCATGAGAGGCTCTTGAGTAGGTTGATACGACCACGTTGCTTCCCTGTTGCTATTTACCCACTGAGGCGGGGGTGGTGGATAATTCCTATACGGCCAAGCTGCATACGCCGCTGGGTTACTGACTCGGTTGCTGTTGGCTACCACACTTCGATTCTCATGTCGAGTTGGCGAGTGGGCATGTAGGTCCTCTTCTTGCTTTGGGCCACTCAGAACGCTTCCAGCATTGTATTTGAAGACACGCTGCCCACGGGACCACATGCCAGAATTAGGCCAGGCAATGTTGGAGCACTCTAGGACTTCTGCTCTGGGATCAGCTGAGACCACTTGGTTAGAGGGAAGAGAGTTCAATCAGAAACCACTTACGCAGAGGTGCATGCTGGAAGGAAAATGCAATTATATCCTTGACTCTCTCGAACGGAGGATTGCGATTTGGCCGAGCGAATCCTTCAGCTATAACCACTCTGATTCTGCCATGCAGGTCTCCAGCTTCCCAGTGCCTTTGTTCCAGAATATCTTGGTGGAAAGGCGGGAAACGAAGGTAGTCCTGATCTCCGTTCTTATCAACATCTTCAAAGCCTGTCAGAGTACTCTCAAAAGAGAATGAGGAAGGGTTTCCTACGAGAACTTAACTCTAGATAGAAAGGAACAAGCAATTAGTTATCTTGCAATGTGGATAGGGGATGAGAAGCCCAAGTTACCGATAATGTGCGGCCAGTTAGTTCTCTGCCCGAACACGCTTCCTCTATCACGCGTTGTAAATCAATTTAGCACATTTCTTGAGCTCAGATGGGTTGTATGAGATGAATGGACTTACGAAATGCATAACCCATCAATGAAAATCCGGATCTCGAAGAGCAAGGCATCATCTGGTTGCATCAAACTCTCCATTAGAAGGCTGGGACGAGGTTTGTCCCAGCTATGAACAGACACTCGGAACGGGGTATTCTGAGGCAAACTCGGGATGAAAGTGGTGAGGACTGGCAGTTGGACTACACTAGCTCGCGGCATGAAGTAAGAGCCTGGATTGACGATGGCAGCACTGTTGATATACGGAGTTTCCACTGTAGTGGCATGAGTGAAAGCTGTCGTACTTGCTGGCTGAATTGGCACCGACCTTCCTCTTGGGTAACGAAACACTGTGTCCTGAACTCTTGAATCGGCACCTTGGAGCTCTCAGGGAAGAGCAGCACATCCCAGTTCTCGTATCGCATCCTGAACCTATGCGGTTTCGAGTCTCGGGAAGAATGAGAGCTGACTCATGAAGCTGGGTTTTGTAGAGGATACTGAAGTAAATGAAAGCCACATGCACGTACAGACCAAGGACAAAAAGAGAAGCCCTGTGTAGCTGACATCGAAGACTTAGTCAATGGAGGAAGACGTGAAGGCGAAGACAAAACCAAGCGATATTTAGGTACCAATGGGTGCTCCTGCTCTAATAAGCAAGTTGGAATTGGGATTTCCTAGATCGGAAGGAGGGTGTGAAAATAGATCAACCGACGACACTCTGGGCCGAGACACTTGCGCCCTTATATCTTGCGATGAGAAATGGTATAGGAGAAAGCCGTGTACTGTGATAAGGCGTAGTGAGAGGGATAGAGTGACAATAAGCGTATTGATGGCTATCTATTTCGCTATTCGGACTTGTGAGGAGGCAGCGACACATAAACTCAGCGAGCTAGTCGGGTAAGAGGGGAATCATTCGTGAAGGGCAGAGAAAGGATAGGAGAGTAAACGCCAGACGCGGATGGATATCGAAGCAACAGAAGACCTCTCCAAGAGTTGCAAGAACCAGAAAAGTTACGAACGCTTGCATATACTCAGAACGCCCAGAGACTGCTCGCAGTCGCAACAGACCGCTGTAACACTTTTAACAATGATGCAACTGAGCCACCGAGCGAACTTCATAGGGACGCGAAGATTGACAGACGATGAATCCTCCGCAAGGCCTACAATGCTATGATCGTGAACTGATGTGAATCCGCCTCACTCTCTCACAAAGCCTATGGGAAGCATCCAGTTTCATGGTCAAAATAGACCTCTCGCGCACAAAAGAAAGTCGAATGAGTGGGAAAAATTGAACTTCCATGAAACCTAAATCGAAGAAACAGAGGGCAAATAAGGGTGTTGTACAGACCATCTGTCTAGCAAAAAGCATGACGTAGCATCCTCATAGCGAAATACGATTGGACTTGATTGCTTCATGAGAAAGACATGAGAGATGAACTTTTCGCAGAATGCCTGCCCGAAGAGTATAGGAGATATGAGGAACGACGAAAAAAGGTAAGGGCGAAAGCGCATAAACAATTTGAATTGCTGTTACATGAGCAACGTAACCTAGGGGTGGAAGATGACGAGAATAGAAGGGGACATTGGGGCGTGGGTGAAGAACAAGAGGAACATCAAGAAAGGGGTAATGACATGAGGAAGAACATTGAGATAGGTTTAAATAGAAAGAGCTCAATCTTGCGGTGAATAAAGCGCTCATACGAGATCAAATGAGTAGCACAGGAGAGAATGCCCATCAAGAGCTATAGAGGGGAGCCTTCGCAGTAATAAATAGCAAACGTGTTATGACACAAAAGACCCATCGTTGGAATGACGCAAAACTCCTGCAGGTGCTTCAGAATAACGAACGCTTTTTACTGTAGAAGTCTTCGTTAATCAAACTGAGCTTCATCAGATGACCGAGGGGCTTCAGAAGTATTATTGAGACTACCAACCTTCATAGGCGCGAAACCACCGTACTGGTGCGCTGGGGGCATGCCCATAGAGGGGTACATCGGAGGCGGGGGAGGAGCAGGGCGGTAAGGGCTGCCAGCGGGGCCGGAGTTGTTCTGAGAGCGACCCCAGCTGAGACGCACACGGGAGTTACCGATGGGGTATCCCTGCATCTGGTTGATGGCCATCTCCGCGGCGTGGCGCTGAACGAACTGAACGAAGCCGCAGCCCTTTCCAGGAGGGATCTTGACGTAAGTGATCTCGCCGAATCCCTGGAAGAAAGAGCGGAGCTCATCCTCGGTGACATAGCCAGAGAGTCCACCGACGAAGACAGTTGTGTTGTTAGGGTCAGTGAACTGGTTCATAGGCTGAGGAGCACCGTAGAATCCCATGGGAGGAGCGCCCATTGGGGGGTACATGCCAGCGGGACCAGGCATGCCCATGCCTCCGGGAACAACACCAGGGCCCTTGTTCTTGGGAGTGGCGGTGGAAATGCGCATGGGACGGTTGCCGCAGTAGACACCCTGCATCTCGGTCAAAGCACGCTGCTGGTCGTTCTCGTCGGAGAAGCGAACGAAACCATAGCCACGAGACATGCCGCTGATGGGATCGGTCATGATCTTGGCGGACTTGCAGGACGGGAATCGGTTCTGGAACAGGGAAACAAGGACGTATTCGTTGACTTCAGGGCCGAGATC